TAGGGGGAGTTGCACTGAGTATTTTCCCATCAACAGTTGTTGGTGGTTTTGCTTATTATGAGTCGGAGATTTTTTTTCCCCCCTGAAAAAGGCGAAAATTTCATTTTTCTACCCCCTAGCACCTTCTTGGACCAGTCTGAGAGACTTGATGATTTTTCTGGGGGTAGGGGGAGTTGCCCTGAGTATTTTTCCATCAACAGTTGTTGGTGGTTTTGCTTATTATGAGTCGGGGATTTTTTTTCCCCCCTGAAAAACGCGAAAATTTCATTTTTCTACCCCCTAGCACCCCCTTGGACCAGTCTGAGAGACTTGATGATTTTTCTGGGGGTAGGGGGAGTTGCACTGAGTATTTTTCCATCAACAGTTGTTGGTGGTTTTGCTTATTATTAGTTGGAGATTTTTTTTCCCCCTGAAATACGCGAAAATTCCATTTTTTCACCTCCTAGCACTTCCTTGGACCACTCTGAAAGACTTGATTATTTTTCTGGGGGTTGAGGGAGTCTTTCCTAATATCTTTCAATGGAAATTTGTTGGTGGTTTTGAGTGTTTTGGAGCCAACAATTTTTTTTTCTTTCACTTCAAGGAAAATCAATTTTTGCACCCCTCAAACATCAACAAGTAATGGTTCCAGAGGGGTAAGAATCTTCATGAATGCAGAGGGGTAATGTCTGAACATTTTCCGATGTCGATAATTGATTTTTTGTCATTCAGGCCGTGAGGCAGCGCTTCACGGACGCGGAGCTACGGCCGTCATAACAAAAAATACTGTTCGTCATACGGCCAAAAAAAACTTTTCTAGCTCATATGATTGCAGCCCTCGCCTTCGGCTCGGGCTGCAAACTCATATTCGCCAGAAAAGTTTCTTTCGGCCTAGTGACGAAATATACTATTTACCCCGGTTTTTGAATCATGTGTGCACTGGGCCCCAGGGGATCATGATACGCCCCTGTTCTGCTGCCAAGTCGGCTGCTAACTTCAGCCTCATTTTAGGATTCTATGACAATAGTACCACCAAATGTATACTTCTCTCTTGCACTATTCTTCTTTCGTTTTTATTTACCGGGTATGAGTTATAAACATTTTTATAGAAATTTCAAATACATTATAGGATAGTACTTCCACAAAGTCTTTCATCCTGCAAATCATAAAAGTAAAAAGAATAATTTACTGAGAAACCACTGAGTATGTTTCGGTCGGCAAACTCAGCTCGACGCGACTTCACTAAATAATGAATATCTCAGGCCCTATATCGATACATCCTTTAAAAATTTGACTATGAGTTCTCTGATCAGGGTTGGGCATATCTCGCAGATGGAAGTTTATGACGTGACATTGTCAAATACCGGTAATTTACCTCTGGGGCGTCAAAAATGTCAAAAAGTGTCAGAAAGCTCTTTACAAGGAAGCTAAGCTAAAAAGTCACAAGGGTCAAAAGTGAGAGGCACATCGGCCGGAAATCGTCAAGTTCAAACGATCACGAGGGTTATCCTTGCGAAGGTTAAACATCGCAAGGGTTATGCCTTCTTAGGGTCAAACGTCGCAAGGGTCAAACAACGGAAGCAATCCTTTAATCGGGAGGGTGAAACTAATAAGAGGGTCAACGGGGGATGCCAGGCGGTACAATTACAAGGTTCCAACGGTCATAAAGTTTAAACAAAAAAAGTAAGTAGGTTCGCAAGGGTCAAACAGGTCACTAGGTCACGGCTTAGTTATCCTGATTGACCCTTATGATTTACCTACTTTGTGATTGTTTCTTGATCGTTTGTGATTTTCCTGCTTGCCTGCGTCTTAATTTTAACTCTTGTGATTTTTCAACTTATCTCTCCTGTAGGCAGAACAATGACAAGGGTGGAATGATCATGAATTAAGAAAAAATAATCTGAAACTATTCCGTCTGGTCTTTGTTGTAACAGCTTATGATCATTTGACGCACGCAAGTAATGATTGTGACGTTTGACCCTCGCAAGTTATGATTGTCACGTTTGACCCTTGCGAGGTATAACCTCAGTGGGTATGAGTTTATCGAATTTTGACCCTTGTAACTCTCACAGGCGGTATTCTCGGTAAAAATCTCCCGGTTCCCCAAGGTGCTAATAGATGGCGCCACATAGGTTTTTGACAGCTCAAAAAGCCGACAACTCGCCCGGGTAATTTACCTACTTTATGACCGGTCAAAAACCATGTAATTTACCTAAGGTAATTTACTTGCCCAACCCTGTCTCTGATAGACACTCTATTACATATATTTTTTTCGGATTTTTTAAAACGCGCCATGTTTTTTTATAAACTTTTTATATTGTTTATTAACAAATGTACAAATGTTGCAAATTGCACTTTGTTGCAAAAATGAAATTTTTATATGAATCTATCATCCTTTAGCAATAAAAAAAGACTATAATTTTTCCGATACAACCAATATTTATTGAGTTATAATGTTGTGAACAATTCCTTACCCAGAGACACCAATTTTGTGTTGTATAACTTTCTGAAAAAAAAAAAAAATTTTTTTCCTCACGTTTACAACCATTTCTGAACCTCTTCTATAACATATCCGAAAATGGAGCAAAAGTAATTTTTTACCTATTGAAATAGTGTGGAATACCTCCTATCCATTTTCAAAAAAAATAAAAGGATTTTTCCCATTTTTTCTTACAAACTCCCTGGAAATTCTTAAAATTTATAAAGAATCCGAGAATTTATTACAAAATTTGAGAGTATTCTAGATTTCTTCAAACGATTGTCGAATTTCATATAAATTTTAAGACTTTCAGGCGTTTCTACGTTGTGCAGTGTAGTATGTAATATAGCGCAATGCCTTTCCTTTTCAACATTTCATTATTTTCAAAAAGATTCTGAAAATTCCCACAAGGCTCGAGTAATCCCCAGAAAGTTCTGAAATGAAACTTTTTGCGTGAATCGAGCAAAGAAAAAAAAATACAACAGAATTATTATCTATAAGAGAAAGGAGCAGAACATTGATTATTATCACTAGATATTTCTTTGTCAACCTAAAATAAATATCTATTCGTTTTGAATAGACAAAAGAAAAAATTATGATTTCAGTACTAACCTCTTTTCCTTCATTAATTTTACAGACAATCCGATCCCTTGATAGAACTCATCGAGTGCTGGATGCCCCTTCTGCCCTCCTGGATCCTCGAAAATATTTTGGATCTTCTCGTTCTTCCTAAACTGACGCTAGAAGTTGAGGAATGGAACCCATTGACTGACACCGTTCCAATCCACACGTGGATTCACCCCTGGTTACCCCTGATGGGCAACAGAATGGACACCCTCATATACCCCATAATCAGACGAAAATTAGGCTCTGCTTTGGGAGGTTGGCACCCCTCCGACAGGTCCGCCAGGCTCATGCTCCAACCCTGGGCCGAGGTATTCTCAAAAGGGGACATGGAGGCCTTCCTGGTCAAGAATATTGTGCCCAAACTGCAGGTTGCACTCTCGGAATTTGTTATCAATCCTCATCAGCAACATTTGGACCATTGGAACTGGGTTTACGAGTGGGCGACACTCTTACCTCCTCACATTATGGTGGGACTCCTCGATAAGTTCTTCTTCCCCAAGTGGCTGCAGGTGTTGGCCTTGTGGCTCAATCATTCGCCGAATTACGATCAGATTACACATTGGTATATGGGATGGAAAAACATGCTGAGTGAGAAGCTGTTGGCGGAGCCTGTTGTCAAAGGTATGATTTATTCATCCAAATGAATGAAACTTTAGGAAATTTTTAATAAGTGAAATGGAAACTTGAATTTTTTGTTAAACAGAGAAGTTTATTTTCCATCCGAAACAGAATTGATCCATTTTTGCTTCCGAATGGAAGCATTTTATTCGTCAAATCTAAAATTTCCATTTTTTCTGTGTAACGATGAATAATGTTGGTCTCAGGAGTTAAAATATGCTGTTTTTAGATCATTTCCGTATGTACATAAGTAAGGGAGAGTCGGGCAAAATGGGACGTTCCGTGATCTTCGCCAATTGCCAATATCTTCACTTATAAATGAAAATATTGACAATTGGAGAAGATCTCAAAACGTGCCATTTTGCCCAACCCTCCCCTATGTGAGCTTTTTTTTCGAATTTAGTTTTTCGACGATCATTCAAAAAATAATCGTCGAAATCGTTTCAATTCTGGCTTAAAATATTCGTTTGGATATTATTTCGGTCGGGTTCGAAGATCGTGGCGAATGCATCATTTGCTTTGAAATTATAGCCTTAAAAAGCATTTAATCGAAGTTTAATCATAATTTAGTCGGGATTTAGTTGGAATTTAGCGAGGGTTTAATCGCAGTTTAGTCGTGATCTAGTCGGACGTTAATCAGGGTTTAACCAAGGTTTCGTCAAGGTTTAATCAATGTTCAGACATGACCCTAAAAATATCATTTCTTCACGTTTCATAATATTTTAGACCATTTGCAATCAAAATTTGAAAATCAAAAAATCGGTCAAAATCAAGTGTTTCATTCGGAAACAGACATCGGCATAATCGAAATTTTGAATTACAGTTAAATTTGGAATAAGTCAATTGTTAATATTACTCACCAATTTTTTTATTTTCAAAATAACCATCAATTTAAATTTTCAAACTCCGTATTATTTTATCAACCATCAATTGAAATATTCAAATTCCGAATTATTTTATCAATTATCACCTTAAATATTCAAATTCGAGTTATTTCATCAACCAGTAATTGAGAAATTAAATTACCAATTATTATACTAATTTTCAAATTTCAATTACGGTACAACTTCTCATGATGTTACTAAAAGTAATGATTGATGCCAATCTATGTTCGGAACTAACAAAAATCCTCTTATCCAGAATTTTTCAGATCTTGGGAAGAAAGGATACCACAGTGTGCCCATGAAGGGTTAATGTTTTCATGAAAAAATTCCTACAGACATATTCAATTTTTCCAAGAAAGATTATCCGACATGTCTACCTGAAATTGCTCATTTCTAATAACTTTTGAATCTAACTCTAAATCTTTCAACAATTTCCATCAACTTATTATGAATAAATCTCGCATCCACCTCTAAAAATAGATGAATAATGTATCTATCTCCATACGTCATTCAACGACAGAATGACGCCAATTTATGAATGTTGATTAATATATGCAATCGATACCTTACAGATCACTTCAAAAAGGCGTTAGATATGATGAATCGTGCGGTATCTACTCCCCAGGGTCACCAACCCGGTGCCATGGAGCAGGTATCCTATCTGACGAGTTTAGAACGTACACAACCAACGATGACACAAATTCCAGCAACAGCGCAGCCAAGAATCGAGGTAAAAACACGATTAATAATTCAAATGGCATTATTCATAATCATGATGGATCTATTGATTAATAATATTTGTCACAATGTACATTTACAGAGGCTTGCGGAAGCTGTAAGAACGGCGTCGCAGATACCGCAGGGATTCAAGGACCTGGTGCAGAAAAAATGCGAAGAGCGGGGTATACTCTTCATGCCAATTCTAAATAGATATAGGGAGGCTAAACAAGTGTACAAAGTTGGTAACGTACAGGCGTACATCGATGGAAATGTCTTATTTGTGTGTCATAAGGGAACCAACTGGGTTCCCACTCATCTCAATGCACTTTTAGACATGTCAGAGCTTTAATTATTGATCTAATGCATTCGGTGAACCCCTGGAATGAAACCTGAGCAATTTGTAAATAGAAAAAAATATAATTTAATACTGCATTTTTGAAATATTTGTTGATTATGTAATCAACTCCGAGGGGTTGAAATGAAAGGGGAGTCTCATTATTCTCGAGCCCTGAGTCCATTCCTGACACAAAACTTTTTATTTTTAAGCAATTACTTCAGTGTCCATTTGAACATTTCGGGAATATATTTTTTTTTCAAATTGATTTTTTTTCCCAACACCAGTTTTAGGTGCTATGTTACTATGCTACTATGTTAACACAGTAACGCTTACTATATAACATAGTAATTATTGTTCTGTTCATAATACCTACTACCATTGAGGAGTTTACTATCCCCCACAGTAACCATTATGATCTTTTGTGATGGCCATTGTAGCCATTGTAGTATTACTATGTATATTACTATGTATTACGTACTATGGCCATGGTAGCCATGTCCATACTATGTGCGGATTCCGACATAGCAGTCTTTACTATTTTATTTTCTCCGTGTATGCATGTGGCTGTGGGTTCGACACTGTACCGCATTCGCACTTTTATACAGTGAGAGAAAAACGACAGAGTTCTCAAACAAGTCTTGCTTGTGCCAAACATACAGAGAGAGCATCGAGATGAAAAATTTTTGTCGCAAAAATAGATTTAGTAGTTCAAAAAAATTTGCATTCTCTCTCTACGCAAGAAATGTAATTTCCAGCACTACGCCTTCGTCATTCGATACTCCCATACGTATTTTGCTCCCGAAAAATGTTTGTTTTATGCGAAACAAGGGATAGCAGTTTTCCGTTTCGACTATCTAATAATAACAGACAAGAAATGAATCCTTAAATGAAACAATAATAATGATATGATAGCAATCTTCTAACTTAGGGACAAAATATTTCTTGATAAATTATGCTCTATATGAGATATTTTCATCCTAAAAAGACACCGTTTCGTATGAATTATCTGCCACTTGAGTCAAATATTTGGTTGTTGTTGGAAGCAGAGGAATTATTCATGTTTGAAACTTTCAAATTCGAACTAAACCAATTTTTTTTTTGCAATTTTTAACTAGCGATTTTGTTGGCCCAAACAAGACTTGTTTGACAACGTGTTTATTTTTCTCTCAGTGTAGAACATAGAAGTAGCCAGGGTTGGGCATATTTCGCTGATGGGAGTTTGCGACGTGGCATTGTCAAATGTCAGTCATTCACTTCTGGAGCGTCATAAATGTCATCAAGTGTCATAAACAATCACTCGGCAGGACCCTTGCAGGGTATGATTTGTGCGACATTTGGCCCTCCCAACAGGAAAAAATATCACGGTTTTGCTCATACCCATGAAAGACGCCAAATGAGTTTTTGACATATCAAATAGCTTGAAAATTCCCCATGTAAATTACCTAGTTTATGACAAGTCAGAAACCATGTAATTTACCTGAGGTCATTTACTTGCCCAATCCTGGGAGTAGCATAGGCCCATAGGAAACCTGAGGCGGTACAGGCGGTTACTCTATTAGCAACCTTCTGTTCATTGGAGCCTCCCGTGGAAATTAAAAATTAGATATGACTAGGGATGTGAAATGACCGTTATTTTTCAATTCGGTCAGGTCAGGCAAAGTTGACCGTTTTCGGACCATTTTCTGACACCGAGATAATTCCCCATGCAAAATGACCGTCATGAACAACCAGCGTAAAAAATGTGAGAAAATGACCAAAATTCCTCTATATAGATGCAAATTGACGGTATGACGGTCATTTTATTTTTGGTAATTTTTTCGGTCAGATTTTTGGTTATTTTATTCCATTAGTTAGAAATTGAATCGCATTTCATAATTTAAAATTAATGTTTATTGGAACGAATTANAAAAAATGTGAGAAAATGACCAAAATTCCTCTATATAGATGCAAATTGACGGTATGACGGTCATTTTATTTTTGGTAATTTTTTCGGTCAGATTTTTGGTTATTTTATTCCATTAGTTAGAAATTGAATCGCATTTCATAATTTAAAATTAATGTTTATTGGAACGAATTACAAAACAATCATAAATGCGATACTCGAGATCACTCATGATAAACTCATGAACTTAATAAACGTCAACAAAATTAATTAAATATATATCTCTGTATATATCATGTTTTTGGTCAAAAACTTCATATTAAATTGGGAGGATGTTGGATGAGGCTTGTCTTCAGTCCTTCTCTCCTTAATTCTCATAATTGCCACCGGCTCCCTCATCTAGTTCGCTCAGCTCTTCACCTGAATTGCTTGCTGAACGAATTTAGTTATCTAGTGTCGCATAGACCCCTAGTGGCGACGTAGGGTCCCTATGACCGCCAGTAACCTTGCCGACACCGAGCAACCGAATAAAAATTTCTGTGTGTCATCTATATAGATGAGAATTGACCGTCAGAATTGAATTGGTCATTTTTCGAATTCCTGACCGAATCGTCAAATTTATAAACATGGTAATTCCCCGTCATGACCGCGGTAATTGACCGTCATTTGACCGGTCATTTTTGTCCCTCATCCCTAGATATTACCATTATGCATCTGTATATCGTCGCCGCCAGGAAAGAATGATTTTGGATTTTGGAGTGGTGGGGGACGTCGAGTCGGAGCTAAATTCGAGAGAGGGGGTACTCAGCCACGATCATTCTTTTGGGGCGAGGACTATAGATGATTTGACAATAATTTGTCTGCAAATTTGTGATCATCATTTGCAGTAAAAGAATTGCGTATGTTTGTCATTTTCTAAAAAATTAGTGCATATATCACATGACCGTCATTTTTCGGGTTACAGTACTTTTTCTCACGGACAAAAATATCACGTCAAAAATATCACAAACAAACATATCACAAACAAAAATATCACAAGCAAAAATATCACCGATAAGAATATCACAGCTGAAACATCACAAACAACAACATCACAAACGAATGGAACTCAGAAGAATGAAGGTCAGAAAGGAAGAAAGGCAGCCAAGAGTAAACAATAACAACCCAACAATCAATATCTCGCTCACCAACTTGAGTTTTCATGGAAATAATAGGTATTTCCTGAGTTATCTGATTGATACGTGAGGAGAAAGACCCGTTGGAATTAGAATTCAATTTTTATACAACGAGGAGGCTTAAAGGATTATTTATGATCATTTGGACTGTGATATTTTTGTTTGTGATCATTTGGCTGTGATCTTTTTGTTCGTGATATTTTTGATTGTGATATTTTTGGTTCATGATATTTTGGTTTGTGATATTTTTGCCGTGATTATTTTGATTGTGATAAAAAGGCCATGATCGATTGGCCGGTCACCCATTTTTCGCGTGGATACGTCTATGGTTTCAATACGTGGAGTAATTTTCGGAAACGGTCCTTATGTGCAGCGCCATCTATCGGAATTCTAGAAAATTCTAGACATTTCGAGGTGATTTGAGAAGTTGCTTGAAATTTCAAAAAAATTCAAAGAGTTTCTGAAAATTTCAAGGAAATTCAGGGAGTTTCTAGAAAATTCGAGAGAATTCAAAGAGTTTCCAGAATACTCGAGAGAATGCAAGGCGTTCCTAAGAAATTCAAGAAAGAAGGAAAGACCATGGACGTGTATTCACGTATAATTACAGCTGTATCGGAGATACACTCGTCTGCAATTTTTTTTCATTATTTTTACTTCTGACACGAACCACTTTAAGAAAATGTCTTCATATTTTTCCACAAACTNTACTCGAGAGAATACAAGGCGTTCCTAAGAAATTCAAGAAAGAAGGAAAGACCATGGACGTGTATTCACGTATAATTACAGTTGTATCGAAGATACACTCGCCTGCAATTTTTTTTCATTATTTTTACTTCTGACACGAACCACCTTAAGAAAATGTCTTCATATTTTTCCACAAACTGACGCAAATTACTGCTATTATGTACAGACTTAGAACTACATTGTAAAGAGTTTCATTAAGATTTTAATTGAATGACTGTAAATAAAGTATTTGTATATTTGTAATCTCTGTACAAAAAGTGAATGCTTGGAATTACAAAAAGCCAATTTCTTAAAAATCGCCAGAACGACCGCTAAAGGGTTAACCCATGGTGAAAGGGGACGTCCAAATCCCACCACTAGGCTTTTGTACCTCCCCGATACCGTGTATAAGAAAAATGAAGAAAGTGGCTAATTGAAAAAAAATCAGTTGTTTGCAAGTGAAGAGACATTTACACAACGACGTGGTTGGCTTCCGGATGGATGCCGCGTTGAGTTTCAGCATTGCGCCGACGTTTCGCAAACATTGCAGTCTGCATCTTCAGGGCTATGAGCTCCGATTCTGAGCTCCGATGTGTGGGGGCAGTCCTTATATACCTTCCCTTGTGGTGGTGGGAGAAGGGGAAGGGGGGGG